GCAGAGCACATGCAATCTGAGGATGCAGTCTGAGGACAGGATCACCCTTTTGGTCTGAGGATTTGGTGGAGGTAAAAGGTCTCTCTAGCGACTGGTGGCTCTGCTTCTCTGATCTCTCAGCTTTCACCCCCTAATATCTGACTCTGATTTTTGTTAATTAGAGTTTGAGCTACAGTCTACCATAGTGGGATATACTCTAAAACTATGAGCCAGAATAGGCCTTTCCGTCTTTAAGATGCCTTTACTCGGCATTTTGTTATAGCAACAAAATAAAAAAAAAAACCAAAAAACAAAACCCTTCTCATTTCCCCATAGGAAGCAAAGTGCCCCATTCACATGTAATGACACCTGAACTCCTCTTAGCAACCACTGTGTGGATGACCACACAACACCCCAGGTTCTCCCTCTTTTCTTCATTGCCAGTAGTGTGTTTTAATATCTTAGCCATATACTGTTGTCATCATACCGTAAGCCCTGTCAATAGCAGAACCTACACAATTTGAGTTAAAAAGAAGACTCTTTAGTGGTATATGGACTGCCATGTTCCTGGCTCACTTGCATAAATGTCATACTGGACACAACTAAATGTCCTTACTGAAAACTTCACCCTGGTTTATTCCACAGTTATTTGTGAAAGTTCTTATGCTGGCACATGTAACTCCTTGAATCAGCTTAGCTCTTCCTGTAATATGCTTCAGGCTACGAATACTCTCTGAAGTTATTGCCTTCTCTACACTCCCAAGCTATTCTTCACTTTAACTCTAATATAATTTTGTTTTATTGTACTTATCATTCTTAAGGTTATTGAGCTTGCTTTTTCTATGTTCTTCCCCCCTCTTTTAAAAAAAAAGACTTATCTTATTTTTAATTGGGAATGTGTATGAGGTGTGTGTGCATTTGAGTGTTAAGTGTACGTGGAAGCCAGAGTACAGGTGGTTTTGAGTGTGGTGACTTGGATGAGAATGGGCTCCTTAGCTCATATGTTTGAATACTTGGTCCCCAATTGATGGAACTGTTTGGGAAGGCTTAGGAGGCATCACCTTGGAGGAGGTGTATCACTCAGGGTGGAATTTGAGGTTTAAAAAGACTCATACAGTAGGGCCCTGTCTTCCCTGTTCCTTGAGGCTGAAGCACAGGAGGCAAGAATTGTTTACGCTAACCAGCTTAGCTTCCCCTGCTCATTCTGCCAGCCGAAGGGAATTAGTTCAAAGCCTTGTTTCTGTCATTGCTATGATAATTTGACCTGCTAAGAAGGTCCTCACAGGTGCCCTAAATCTCCTCCCATCTGTCTGTCAGGGTTCCCAGCTTGATACTCTCTGCATGGAGACTCAGGCCGCTGGTGCCAAGCGGTCAACACCCCTCTTCTCACTCCCAGGTGGGAGGGGGCTCTTGTCCTCTTGCCTCCAAGTATATAAGCCTACGAGTGCTGAATAAAGATTGACATTTACCCTTTGGGCGAATGATCCGGTCTCTCTGTATGTGTCTGTTCAACTCCTAGGATATTGATCCAGACTCGTGGTCCGTACAGGAAGTGTGCCCTGTACAAGGAGAATGAGGTTTCACTAAAAAGCGCGGGACATCATACCATTCATGTTGTAGTGAACCACCCAGCATGGGTGTTGGGAACCAAACTTGGGTCCTCTGCAAGGGCAGTGCATGTTCTTCCCCATCTCTCCAGTCCCTTTCTTTGGCTTTTAGAAACAGTTTTAGCGAGATGTAATTGCCATTCATACAATTATTCCATTTAAAGAGTACAAGTCAACAGTTTTCGTGTATTGACAAAGTTTTCAAACTGTCACACAGCTAATTTTAAATTTACTCCATAAAAGAAAGCCAGCACCCACTTGTAGTGAAATCTCTAACACTCCCTTACTATCAGCCCTAAGAAACACTAACCTATTTCCTAAGTTTGCTTATTCTGGACATTCGCATAAGCCGAATCATGTAAGATGCTCTTTTATGACTAGCCGTTTTCACTAGGCATGTTTTCAAAGTTCATCTGTCTTATAGTGAGTGTCCATACTTCACTGCTTTTTGTTTGTTTTTTTTTTTTTTAAGATTTATCTATTTGTCATGTGAATTTATCTATTTATCATATACAGTGTTCGGCATGAATGTATGCCTACATGCCAAAAAAGGGCACTAGATCTCATAAATGGTTGTGATTTGAACTGGGTCCACTGGAAGAGCAGGCAGCACTCCAAGCCCCTGAGCCATCTCTCCAGTTCTACTTCGCTGCTTTTTTTCTGATGAGAAAAATAACACCATTAGGAACAATAGTAACACTATCATTTAGCTATACAACATTTAAGAAAAATCCATTCACTAGTTGATGGACATTCTCCTGTTCTCAGATTCCTTGGTTGCCTGTACTCGTTTGTCTAGGGTTGAGGCCTTGTGAACTTTCTCCCTTCCACATTAACTTGTCACTTGGTGCCATCTTCGTTCAGGTCATGGTTATAAGAGCCCCTTAGTGAGACCGCACAAGTGTCCATCTGACATTTCTAGTGGACAATCTCACATCAAACTTCTCCCCACCTCCTTCCCCACAGATCCCTGAGCCTTAGGTGCAGAAGTTGTGTTGAAGATGGATAAGTTGGGACTGGACACCAGACTGCTACACTTTGATGGCTGTGGTTTTCTACAGTGGTCTCTTGGACAAGAAGTTTCTTTGAGGAGGGGTGAGAACTAGAGTTATCTGTTGATCTAAGGACAAGTATTTAGAATTTAGCTAGGAATTATCCTAGTTACTATTTGCAACACAAAAGTATTTGTTTCTGGGCTGGAGAGATGGCTCAGTGGTTAAGAGCACTGCTTGCTCTTCCAAAGGTCCTGAGTTCAATTCCCAGCAACCACATGGTGGTTCACAACCACCAATAATGAGATCTGGTACCCTCTTCTGGCCTGCAGGCATGCATACAGGCAGACCATTGTATACTTAAATAAATAAATCAAAAGATACTGATATTTAAAAAGTATTTATTTCTGTGTAATCTAATTCATCTTTTTATTCCTTTTTGCTTTCATGTGCTTGGTGTCATATCCAAGGAATCATTGGTTCTCTAAAGGCCACTAATATTTATTCCTGTTTTTGCTTACAAAGTTTTAAATTTTAACATTTACATTTAGGTCTATTATTCATTTTGAGTGTTTTGTTTGTTTGTTTGTTTTTTGCATCTGTGGCTTTGTCTGTCATTACTGACTACTATCCCTTCAAATACTACTTCTACCCAATCCTCTCTCTTCCCTGTTTTGAGTTTGTTATACTTACTCTGGATTTATTCATTGCACACTGGCTTTCAAGTTCTGCTGTTCCTTCACTGCTTCCTCTTTGTGCTTCAATTAGAGTGTTTTTCCTTTTCTTGATTTTCCCCCCACCTTACTAATCTCTGTCCTGTTACATCTACTCTTCAGTTTAACTCACTACTGAGTTCTTGACTTCATATATTATATTTTTTCAAGATTTTCCCACTGATTCTATTAAAATTTTGTAACATATTTTTACCCATCATCCCCTCCTCCATTTTTATGACCTACTGCTTTATTTTGTAATGGTCACTTCAAAGCTTTCTCTAAACTTTAACATCTGGTTTACCTGTGAGTTTTCTATTATCTTTTTTCCCCTCCTCTTTATCATTGGCCAAAACTTCCCATTTTTGTCATGTCTTACACTTAAAATCAACCACATATCCCAGAGTTTTACACAAAATTCCCATAGACAACACAGATGCTTAGTTTCCACTAAAAGGAAATTAGACAAGTAGGATGTCTGATATCATCCACACAGTCCTAGAGGAGCTGGGTTGTGGTTGGGATGCAGTTATTAAGACTCAGTCAACTTCTAGTTTCTTTCTGTTCATGATTCCTCTAAACTTTTGATCAAGAACCAGAAAGGTATCCACCTCCTTGGCCTTTATGTGAATAAGAATTCAAATAACTTCAGCAGTAATTGTAAAAGTCATGAGTGTGTTGAATAATGTCCATGTATAAAAAAAAAGATGAATGTTTGGTAATACATTTTGTTGTTGACATATTATTTTGACAATACACATATTGAATAAGCAAACATTAGCTTTAATTTAGGGATTTGGTAAATATGAGGGTCTTGAGTGCTGGGATTAAAAGCGTACGCCACCAATGCCGGGCAAAGATGAGGGTCAAAAAAAAAAAGACTTATTTTTCATGTACACATGCACACAGGTGCCTGTGGGATCCAGAAGAGGGTGCTGGGTCCCCTGGAGCTGGAGTTACAGGTGGTTGTGAGCCACCCCAACACAGGTACTGACTGGGAAAAGAACTCAGGTCCTTTGCAAGATCAAGAAGCGGTTTTTGTGACTGAGTCAACTCTAATCCCAAAATTAGTTTTACTACAAGGAGGTATACAAACTTAAGATTTAAAAAGTATCTTAAATTTTATTTATATGTTTGCTTGCTTGAATTTATGTATATCATGTGTGTGCGGGACCCTGCAAAGGCCAGAAGAGAGCTACAAATCTCCTGCAGTGGAGTTACAGGTTGCGTATTTACATGACATATATCTGCCGATCTTAATTCATAATCAGAAGAACAATTTTTTTTCTTGGTTAAATTTCTTTTTGGTTTTTCTCTCCAAACACAGTGGAGTGAATCTGTGCGTTTTAGTCATTGGTTCAATTCATCCCATCTTTCCTGATCAAATAATAAAATGCACGGGAGCATAAGCCCTGATCAATACATCGATCTTGAAAAATGCATTTAATGGTCAATACTTAGAGGAGGGCAAGACGGAAAGCACCGTGAGGAAAACCTACGGGTAGGCGTTCCGGGCCATGGAGGTCTGTAATTGTCCACGTCTCTTAGCTAGACCACAAACACGTGCAGTTACTACACACGCCAGCCACGGAAAGGCTGATCTTCAGGGCAGGGGTCCAGATCGCCCAGCGTTCCTACTTCCGGCCTCGGCCCCGCCCCACAGTTGCTAGGAGACGTGATGTCACCGGAAGCGAGGCCTGGGATAGGCTGAGGCCTGGGGAAGCCTCTCCCACACGGCAGCCTGGGGTGCCGGCGCTTGCTCGCCAGCTGTTCCTAGGCCCGGGGCGAGGAACTGCGAAGGGAGAAGGGGTGCGACCGGTCACCGCTCGGGCAGGTCCGGCCTGTCGTCCTCTCCGAGTCTACTGCTGCTCCCGTCGGGCGAGCAGCCTGCCTAGCAGCTTCCGGCGGCTGCCCGCGCTCTTGACTGACAGGCGCCGTCCCCACAGCCCGCGCCCCCAGCCACGTCCCCGTTCTCGGCCGGCGTACGGCGTGGCTGCCCCCGACCTCTGAGCCCTGAGCGATGTGGGCTCCCGACTTCGGCCCCGCGCGGCTTACTCAGCGTAGGCGTCCCGGGCCGCTGTCGTCCTCGGTTTCGCCACTGTGGCCGCTGCTGCTCTTGCTGCTGGCGGCCGTGGCGCCGGTGCGCGCCTGGGAGAGCGGAGACCTGGAGTTGTTCGACTTGGTGGAGGAGGTGCAGCTCAACTTCTACGAGTTCCTCGGGGTGCAGCAGGTAAGTGCGCGGGCCGCCGGGCCGGACCTCGTCGCTCAGCCCGGTCCACTTGACAGCCCAGCGCTTTCCCAGTCCCTCACCCACGCGCCAACTTCGGAACTTCTGGTCTCAGTGCCAGACTGGACGGTGCCACCAGCCTGGGAGTGCTGATACCTTTGCTTTGGCTTTCTGGGGACCGCCCTTTCCCCACCCCCCCAAAGACTGTGCTGGAGGTAGAAGAAAGGGAGGTAGACCATTTTTACACTGACTCCCTCTCAAGTGTGACACAGTAACTATGTCACCCCCAAATTGTCATCTTCCCACTTAAACGTATTTTTACTTTTAACTTCGTCTGCCTCCCTCCCTGGTTTTTTTTTTTTTTTTTTTTTTTTTTTTTTTTTTTTTTT